ACAAGGGAAGGTTATGTGTGAGTCTTCTCCATCTCTGTCTTTGCAACTCTTAGTTAACTGGATGATCTTAATTTACACACAAAATTAGCTTCTAGTACATTTATATATACTAGGGGTACATTTTCCACCATACTTAGTGGTTTTGCAGCTCAATCTTGTAAGGACTAGCATGGCTAAGTCCTCTAACTGATGCTGTTCTCCTGAATGARAAAAAAAAAAAAWTATTTRGTGTTGAAAATGATCAGGGTGTCACTAGAGTGCTCTGGTGTTACATGGAAGCAGAGCTGCACTCTTCTGGAGTTCATAGAGTTTTTAACTTTGGAATGTGTCTTAACATCAGTGTTGCAAACTGCATGATGTACAGTTGAAGCATAAACTATTGAGTTTTAGTTATTTTAATTTTTAAACACTTGGTTTCATCTCTGTCCTGGAAATAAAGGAATGAGAACTTAATTTCTCAGCTGTGCGAAGTAAATAACTGTGGATTTTTTAATAGTTCTCAGACTACCAATTCCTCAAATCACAGAATTTCCTCTTTCAACTGAAAGTTAAACTTCTGGCAATATATGTTCATAAAGGGAAAACGTAGACTGTATCATTTAATGAGACATAAAATTCTCAAGTTTTGCTTGCTATGAAGCTATTAGTAAATTCTAGTATTTGTATTTGTATGTTTTCCTGTTTTTGTAGGACACTGTGTTGTTTTCTGCCTCTTTTCTCGTGGCTGCCTTACTATGAAGAGTAGCCTGCAGAAGCTCTGCAGGGATTATTTTGACTGCTCAATGTGTGTGCTGTCTTATGTCTGACACCAGAATTGTTTGTAAGCTACCATAAGCCTTCTGACACTTAGTTATCTTTATGGATCTTTATGGCTTATTTTTTCTTCAACTCATTTTGTATACTCTGCATTTCAGATATGTCTTATGATGGGCTGTTGTGTCTAGCAGTCTGTTGTGATCTGTGTTAGGGAGGATACATCGCCTTAAATCCATGTTGSTGTCTCTCCTTGTTCTTTCTGTTTTAGACTAAGCAAAATCAAGCACAGCAAAGATTATATGTGTAACGTGATTTTTAAATGTGGTTCATATCTATACAACCATGTTAGGTATACAGGCTAGGTGGGGTTACTCCTAAACATACTTCAGACAAAGCTTTTGAGTTGAAATAACCTGCATGTTAAGTTCTGAGATCCACATTTGTCTGGGCTTTTGAAGATGCTGTGTAGGTTGCCARTTGAAGAGGAAATGAAAAGGCATCTCATGCCACCCCAGGTGGTCACTTCAGTAGAGTCTTTGGGATGCATTGTCTGACTGGAGCAAGGCAGAGACCTGGAGTGTGGGTTATTAGGTCAGCAGTTGAGGTTTTGGGCAAAATTTCAGGGTGGACTGAYCTCTACATCTGTTTCCCTTTGCATCTCAACCCTGAGTCATTCCTGTAATCTGCTTGTAAATACATATGGCCAGCTCTGACACAGGGCTTACCTGGACTGTGAGTGTCAGTCTTACTTTAATGGTGGCAAGGACTGCAAAATTACTTAACTTGAAGCTCGTATGTAGACACTGCTGACAGTAACTGCCTGTTTTGCCACAGTATTTCAGTGAACTGTCTTGAATGGATTTCCCTGAATCCCTCCGTAAAACCTACTAAGCCCTGTGTTAGTGGCTTTACCCTTTTCTCCTGAGGACAGAGCCATTAATAAACTTCTCAGAAGTTTTCTTCCTTGTAGCTCAAATGGGTGTGAAACTTTGAGGCTTGGGAAGCATTGGCTATGACTCTGCCTGTTGAAACATGTAAGCCAGGGAAAAGTGAACACAGTGCGATTCACAGAATACTCTTTGCATCTTTATGGTTAATGGTTTTCTTGAGCATGAATTTTGTATGGAGAACAAGATTTAATCAAGTGCTGTACGAATTCCACCTTCCCCTTAAGTGACAAAACAAATGAAGTAAGGGATCGTCGCTTAAATGAAGAGGTGAAGTCTCCTTAGTTTAGCATGAACAAGTAGGCTTATTGTCTGCTTCCTTCTTTTGAATTCATCATCCTACAAAGGTATGCCAACACAGTGTGTGGAGGGCAGGCAAGGATATCTCCTGGGAATGAGCTTACTCTTTTGTTGTTCACCTGCTATTCGCATTAGTCTGTCACAGAAACAGTGTTAATTTACTCCACAAAGGTCTATTGAAGTAAAGAAAATGAGTGTGAACAAATTTTGTCGGTAAACTAAGATGGCAGCTAACTTGTTTTTTCTCAGCTGTGCTATTTATACCATAGGTTACAGTTGGTGATCTGTTATTTAAAAAGAATCTCTCTCTTGACACATTTTTTGGACTGAACTGGATTAATGTAGATCATATATAAAGGATTGTTGCCTCAAAAGCTGTAGAGATCTTCCAAAGGGACTGTATTTTCTGCAGCTTTTCCGTGTGTGCTCCCACTTCAGCATCGCTGTCTTTCCCATGTGCAGTGCTGGCCAGTGGTCCTGTRCAGCAGCCTCCTTCCTCTCCTGTTCCTGTTGTCACACCAGGCTAAATTCTTTGYCCCATGCTGGCAGATAATGTACTTCCACTATTCTGGATGTTTCTGTCATCCCTTCAATCCACTGTTACATGTGGCATTGCACTGCCAGGTGCAATTCTCCCATGCAGAACTGCTCTACAGCCATTGCTGCTGGCACTTGCTCCCCTTTCTCACCTGAAGCCAGTCTGCAGGAATGGGTTGTCAGGGAGGAGGAACTACAGCATAGGAAATACTGAGTAGCCAGGAGTGGGGGCATTGCAGGAGTGAAGGGGGCAGAAGGGTCTCCAGTGGGCTTAGGTATTCCTTTCAGTAAACCCAAATCGTGCTTGTGACTTCAGTAGTTACAAGGAGATTTAACCATTTGAATTTGGCAACATGATGTTATGTGTCCTGGCAGTGGAACAGTGGAAATATAACAGTTTTTCTGTTTAATGAAAAAGGCAATCATGCTTGAGAAAAAAATCAATTTTTTTGGTACTGAATAAGAAATTTTTGATCTTACAGTGTAGCAGGGTAGAAGGGAATGTTTTTGATTGAGTGTATTGAAGGAAGTTGCACATGTCGAGTTTCATAAATGATCACTTGGGCAGCAGGATTTTAAATCCTGTTACAGGCTGTAGGCAGTGATAGAATGCTCTGCTCAGCTCTTGCCAAGCAGAATGAGTGAAAGGATCTTATGGCTTCCATTCAGTTTTTAAGGGAGTTGTTAACCTCTGCAGTTGTCTGGCAAGAGGACCATGAATGAAAGGAACTGAATAGGGTGGTGGAACAATTGTTAAGACAAAGTCTGTGCATTACAGTGAATGTGTGTGGGTCTTTTAAAGATTTCTCCTTCTGTAAGAGAAAGGAATAGTGCTTCTTACAACATTTGCAGAAAGAGACCCACCAACACATTATCTTGACAGGCACTTGCTTATCTTAGGTGCTGCCTTGACACCGACTGGCAAAAGTTATCGTTAGTTAACATTAGTCTTTTTTGGGTTTTGCTTTTCAGCTGTCTTTTGCAACTATTTGCTTCAGTGTAGCTGTGAATAGGATCCCTTGGTTTTATTTGGCCAATAAATTTTTCATAGTTTCTCAGAGTCCTTGCCTTCTTTTCTCCTGGCTGTGCTTTTCATGTTGCAAGTTTTTCCTTTGCAGAGAGGGCAGGAGGCAATGGGTGGCATCTTTTGATGGTAATTTTCACTGTGACTAAAATTATTACCCAGCCTCAGTACTTGGTAACTCTTCCTTCCACCCTTCCCAAGCTGGGAAAAATAAGTAATGTTATGGCCTTTGTGATTAGAAATTTCACTGCAAAGCAGCATATTTTTGTTAAATGCTTGTTAATCAGGATTACCTGATGTAAGAGGAACTGCTGATAGCTGATTAAATACAAATTAATGCTGAATATTTCATGCCTCTTCAGCTGGATTTGAAATGACATGGCAGGGATTTTATATTTCTAAACCAAGTTTGTGCTAAAAACAGATGCATTGCAGAATATGCTTGGCTTTGCTGTAAGAAGCAGAAARAGAATTGGAAGACAAAATGGGAAGATTGCTCTTGAAAACAAACTTTGAGATGTGAGATACTGAAAAAGAATGCTCCTGGTACCAGGAACATCTGAAGCAGGAGCAGCGGTGGTTTCACTGGACACAGGTTAAGTGACAACACTCAAGTATTTAAATTACCTGAAATGCCTGAAACAGAAGCAGTCTACAAAACCCCACAGGGAAAAAGCTTATGAACTTTTCACCACAACAGAAAGGTACCCGTTTTTGGCAGTTCATCATCCAGTTACTGTGCTAAAAAAGGTAGGCTGTTTGCTATATAAATCTACTCCAAATGAGCTGAAACACCCTTGAAGTGCTTGCAGTGGAATCTCAGTGCTGCATTTCTGTAGGAAATGTTGTTTTGTCTGACCATACAAATGCTTTTTTTTCTGAACCAGAAACTTAGATTTGAAACAGAAAATCCTAGTGATCCTAGAGAAGTTCAGATAGGTRAAAACTGTCATTGGTGGCATTTTTCTTTAACTGATGAAAACAGTGGCAATGAAGTATTTTTCACTGTGTGCAATATATGTGACACTGTAAATAAAGCTTGAACCGAGACCTACTTTTTTCTGCTGCAATTATGTGTAACTCGGCTCCGTAATGCAGAGATGTAATGCTCTATTTTTTGTGCTGTAACTATATGTAACTTAACTCGGTAATGCTGAGATGCAATGCTCTATTTCTGAAGCTTGTGATCACGGCTAGCTTATAGCCTTACTGACTCACAGAAGAGTTTGTAAGGGTGCTTCTCTGTTTGCTTGTAATGTCACTTCCATAAAATCACCAAGTGTTTTTGAAATCGTCACGTTTTATTTGCATTCCTAAAGGATTATGTAGGTTCCTTGGCACTGCAGGATTAACTTTGATTTACCCGTGGCACTGGTTTATGTGACTGAAATACAATGTATTGTTGATGTTTAATGAAGTTCTTCTGTTTTTTTCAGATTTTGAGGACAAACTGCTCTATCAATAATCTGAAGAAGGGGATTCTCTGTTAAGACTGAAAGAAGATACTGCTAACTGGTAAAAACACTTGCTTGGGTTTCTTTGCTTATAGAATATTTCTTTGTTTTCCATAATATTTCAGGCCAAGGAGTACAAAGTATTTTTATATATTGAAAGCAAGAAATAGTTCATGCAATATTTTTTCTTTCTAACTGTCTGTATCTTACCAGACAAAACTCAATAGCAGTGGATAACATGTGGGTATTTAAACTGGAATACAAATTGATTAAATTCCTGCTCTCTCAGTAGGGGAAAAAAGACTGGGTTTTTTTCCTGTAGTGGCATGTTAAACAGTCTATTTGCCTTTTTAGCTGAGACAAACACAATGTGTCTGTACTGTGTCCTATATAAATACTATTTGAAGTGCGATAGTGCAAACAGTGAAACTTCAAATATAGTGCTTCAGAGTCTGGCCAGAGAATAAAGGAAGCCTTAACCGAAGTCCAGATGCTTTGGAAGATGCCATTAATGTGCTTGTAGGCATTCAGTGGGTGTTGAGGCATAGTTTTCACTGGAAATAGTATATGATAATAAAACTAAGGATGTCTTGTAATTCCTAGACACATAATGTCATGTGGAGCTGTTTTTAGGTTCAGAACAGTAAAAGAATCACCAGTGAAGAGCTATGACCACTTAATAGCAGTTTGGCAGCCCATAAGTTAAAGTGTTGAGCTACACAATTACACAGCAAGCACAAGGAAACATGAAACTTTAGRTCATTTGAATGTCTTGACATAGGTAAATCGTATGCAAATTGATGGTGGGTACCAGAGTTACAGCTCACTTCTCAAATACTTCATGTTGTAGATGAAGTAGCAGTTTTCCTCTGTAGTCATACCTTACCATACACCTTCAGTAAAKCTTGGACCTTTGTTACTGCCACCACTTGAGCTGCAGGGCTCATTAAACTTGTGCCAAGAGAGGCTTCTTAGCCCAGAATGGGGTCATGTGGCTGAATTCAAGGAGTAATATGGAAAGAAGCACATCCTAGCCAATAAGAAAACCATAAGCTTTCGTGACTTAAGCATTTACAGATGCTTTATAAATCTTCACTTGCCAGTTAATTTGCCTAAATTTTATAAGCAGTCAATGATAACTTTATACGTTATTTTGTGTAGCTGTTGCGGAGAATAKTAAAATACTTGGTTTGGTTACTCTGCCAAACCTAAATTAATGATAGGAAAGTTTTGAAAGCTTATAGTAGTCAGCAACGAGCGTGTGTTAGAAATGGCGTAGTAAAAACAAAGTTTGACTCTTTAGTCTTCTTTTTATGTAAAGATGACTTGTATAGTACAGCTATTTCTGAGTGATAATTTCAAGAGTTTTCTTGCCTGTAAAATTGCAGCTTCTCAGCTAAAATGCATCTAAGACTCATTCCTAAATACCAGGTTTGAAAGTGTATGTCCTTCAGCTTACAGGAGAAAAAGCTACCATTTGAGGTACCARTATCCTGTATTGCCAACATTACAGGATTCTGAGCCACGTTATAATTATATCTGATAGTAATTTTTAGGATTATTCTGATTGTATATTGATGTGAATAAGTGTGTGTCTGTCACTAAATTTGGGTGCATAGTTTGCCCCTTACAGAAGACTGAAAAGCTCATTAGAAGTGAAGTCTTCTGTCCTTTTCCCTACTTTGGCTTCCTTTTCCAGCCCATCATCTCCCCATCTCTCTTGAAGAGAGAAGTTTAACAGGATGGCCATGCTGAGTGAAACTGGGTAGTTCTCTGAAGTAATTCTTTGTCTGCAGCTGTGGTAAAGTATTTATCTTAATTCAGTATTTCCTTTAGGATCAGTAAGTCCTTTTTAGCTTGGGGTAGWGCTGTATAAACTTGGTTTCACTGTATCCAGCAATGACATTGATTTGGGGGGACGGGAGCTGAGAGCCTGCTGAGCTCTATTGCACTTCAGACCTGACTCAGGTTCTCAGCTCAGGCCCCCAACTCTGGGACTGTGCAGAAAAGATAATGTGACACAYGGATGCTGTGTGACTTGGGGCAGAGTGTGGGTCTGGCCCTGGGTCTTGCATGACCRGTGCCCAGATAAAAATGTTAACCCAGCTGGTCCTTGATGTTGTGCAGACTAGCACAAATGGTTGTAGAAGACATGCATACCCATTTTATCCAGGTGGTGTTTCTTTTGAGTATGGTGTTTCAACTGTCCATTATCACAGGCACTGAAGGACATGTAACATTTCAGGTTTTGCCCTATTTTTCTTGTATTAGCTATTCTTAGTCATTACACTAACTTAACTTGTTTGGGATTATTTTTCCAGAGTATCAGTCATTCAGAATAGATCTTGATAATTGGCTTCTGCTTCCACATATAATCTCTGATAATTATTCACTCTCATTTTACAGTGTTATCTCTTACATGCAGCTTGAACTTGTCTGCATGCTTGAAGATTTAAAAATCCTTCCATTTAGAATTGTTCCCCTGTAATGATRATGGGGAGATGTTTTGAGCAAACTGATTAACATGTTGTGAAGTCTCTGTTCCAGCACTGTTGGTAGATTAACAGGTTTCGCATTTATGCTAATTTTAATAAATATGAAAACACCTTGGGTATTATGTTTGCAAAGTGGAAGCAAATGCATACCTGTCATTTTCTTATTAATTTTGAGAACTCTTTGTTGTGGCTTGCATAGCTCTTATGAAAGTAACATTTGTCTGGTTGCTACATCTTTAAATGTTTTGCTGCCTCTTGTGAAGAACCTTTAAAAACTCTTCAGTAACAATGTGAGCCTTTTCGTGCAAATCCCTTAATGTGTTAAATTTCAAAAGAGCAGGAAAGTTTGTTGTCCCAGTACCTGTGTGCCTTAAAAAGGTTTGAAGTGAAGGATCTTGTGCAGGAGAGATAGTGTATTGAGTAAGGCCCTATTGCATGTGTTTACAGAATTCTGCTTGGCTTTGACTGTTGGGGAAGTTTATATAGAGTCAAATACGCCGCAAGAAATACAAAGCTATGTTCTGTTTTGTTTTTCTCAGTGTTAAATGTTTCCTCTATTAAACAAGGAAATAGGTTCTATAAATGTGCAGCTTTTAATAGGTGCTTKCAGAAGGATTTGTTGTTTTGTTTGTTCATTTGGAGAAACCTAWGTAACCAATATAGGAAGTGGTGAAGTTACAAATGCTTCCAAAAGCTTTCAGTGCAAAGCCCACCAGATACCTAAAACAGGGCAGTGGCAACATCAGGGGTAAAAGAATAATCCGCTGCAGTGATGATATAGACTCTAAATAAATGAAGAAAAAATGCATTTCTGACAACTGAAACCACTTATATTTGCCATTTGTGCCACAAGTTAAAAACAATCTGCTTTGGCAGTGTTGCTCTAAATATATTGTTGTAGGTTTGCCTGTAAATTCAGCAGAGCCTCTTCAATTGATGTCTCATCCATGTGAAAGTGGGTTTGTGGAAATGGCTTTTAGTACATGGAGGTTAAGTATTTCTTGTGATTTTGACACTCCAGATGATGTGGTAGAAATTCTGGTCATGCTGCTGATATTCTACCAGCATGCATTTATTTTGAATTAATGGTGATATCTAAGGCAAAGAAGAGGAATWGCTGACTTGTTTTAGGCTGAACTGAGCTGTCTTCTATTTATTTGCCATATTTTGTCTTGGGGCTTGTTTAATGTGCCACACTGCAATAGCATGGGAATAGATTGAGGTGTTAGAAGTTTTTATGCATTGCTGTGTTTCTGAAAGTTTAATAGTGTGTATTATCAATGTGAATAATGTGCCTATGCTGAGGAAACATTATGTGGTATCTCTTCTCCCACAGTAGGTGTAAAATAAGTTAAACCTTGAATTAAGATCATAGTAGTCTGCAAATGATCAGTCACAAAGTTTTTTTCACTGTAATCAAGCAGAGTGTTGAGCTCTTCCAAAATTTCCTTTCTTTACATGTAGTAGTCCTACTGGAACAGTTTACAGAGTCAGTTTAAAAGTAAGTGAATTTTGAATTTGGTTTAAAGGCTTATTCAGTAAACTGAGCTCTGCTTGAGACTTCAGCCATGCCTATTTGTTTAGGAAGGGAAAGCTGCTATTTTTTTTACCTGTAAATAGTTGCTCAGGACAACATGAACTGTTTAATTCTGTTTGTCCARTGAGCCTTCAAATCAAAGGCATTAATTTAAGGGTTGTTTTGACTTTTTGAAATGTCATTTTTAAACAGGGCAGCAAAATATGTAAACTTTTCTCAAAAGAAAGACATTTGACCTGAAAAGCTGTGCTTGTTGAGGCAGGTGACTGGACGTTCATATTAAGTTTTATGTAGTCTGTTCTGTTAGGTTAATGTCAGATGTTGCTTATTTCAGTTCCTGATTTAGAGGACTCTTAAATGCTTGTTAAAGGACAGTTCTAAGGTTTGTGGAGGGAGGATTGTTTCTTTTTTTTTTTTTTTTTT